CCAGCAGCGTGTACTGGTTCGCTCCGATCCGCCGCGCGTCGAGCTCGGCCGTGAGCGCCGGGCCGCGCGTCCGAACGGCGAGGAGGGCGCGCAGCGAGCTCAGGTCGCCCTGGCGCAGCTCGGAGGGCAAGGCGGGGCTCGGCCATGTGCTGCACCGAGCGGTTTGAGGGCGCCTGCTCCTCATCGCTCAGGGAGCCGTGTGATGGAGCCGTGTGATGGCCGCAGGATGGCGGATCCACCGGGTAGGAAGATGTGGCCGGCTCGTGGGAAGGCAGCCCCCGTGGGAACGCCACCCCCCATTAGAGGGGCGCGCCACCTGGCCCACCCCCGCTCCTAATTGCGCACGGGAGCGGTGCACGGGGGCGGTGCGCAGTTTCATATGAACTGCACCGCTCCGGGGGTGGTGCGGGAGTGGTGCAGTCCGGCGCACCTCCGCCGCGCCGAGCGTGGAGCCCTCCACCGAGCCGCAGGCTCGCGCCGACGCGCCAGCGGCATCGTACGGGATGACGGCCGCCTCGCCATGTCGATCTCCGCGCACGCGGCGCGCTCGATCTCCGCGGTCGGCTGCCGCAAAAGCGACTGGCTCACGACAGCGTTTTGCCGGTTGTCGGGTGGGAGAGTACATGTCGTCTGGAGTGTGGCGTGTACCTAGTTTTGATCGCGGCAATAAAGCGGTCGAACGAATAAGCGACCCACTCTTTCCGTGACCTCCGCAGCGACGGCTCTTCTCGCACACAGCACGCGACACGCAGCAGAGATCAGGGTCCGCTCCTTTCGCCGACACGGGGAGGCAAGTGCTGGGCGGCGCTTTGTGGCCGCCGGAGGGGGGCACCTGCCTGGTCGGCGGCGCGAGGCTCGCGATGCCGCAATGGCAGCCGCACCCGGTTGGGCACTCCCACTCGGGCTCCCCGCGCGCCGCAGCCGCTGTCACCCACGCGCGCACACACTGCCAGTGGCCGCCATGGCCGCACGCACCGCACGCCCACGCGACGCCGCGCACGGGCAGCGCGCAGATGGAGCACTGCAGCGCCGGCTGCGCAGCCGCGTGCAGCGCCTCTCCGCTGCTGGAGGGGCAAGCCTGCAGCGCGCCGGAGCCCGCCTTTGGGCTCGCCCGCCGCGCGAGCTGCGGCCCGGCCGCCGCCGCGCTCGCAGACGCGCCCGAGGAGCAGAAGCCGAGCAGAGAGCCGAGCCGGCCACACGACGTGCTGCTCGGCATGCCTGGCGGGACGTGTCGCGGACGTGTCGCGGACGGTGTCGACTGTGGTGGCGCAGACGGCAAGATTTTTTCGCCTGGCTTTGAGAGCTACGCGGTCAAACCTGGGGGGAACTGACCGCACCATGACGGACGTTCGAAACCTGCGTGAGCACCTTTGACGGTTCTCGCTCCCTATCGAGCTCTTCTTGCCGCACGTCTCTTCCTGTGCGGTTTGCTGTGGTGTGCCGCCGCAGTCTGACTCTGTGTCAAGCACGAGACCACGGGAAGAGTGGGTCGCTTATTCGTTCGACCGCTTTATTGCCGCGATCAAAACTAGGTACACGCCACACGCCAGACGACATGTACTCTCCCACCCGACAACCGGCAAAACGCTGTCGTGAGCCAGTCGCTTTTGCGGCAGCCGACCGTGGAGATCGAGCGCGCCGCGTGCGCGGAGATCGACATGGCGAGGCGGCCGTCATCCCGTACGATGCCGCTGGCGCGTCGGCGCGAGCCTGCGGCTCGGTCGAGGGCTCCACGCTCGGCGCGGCGGAGGTGCGCCGGACTGCACCACTCCCGCACCACCCCCGATCGGAGCGGTGCAGTTCATATGAAAACCGCGCGGGGGTGTGCATTTCATATGAGGAGGCGTGCGCTGTCATATGAGGGGGCGTGCACGGGGGCGTGCCCCTGGAGCACCGCTCCCGTGCGCTGTCATATGAGGAGGCGTGCACGGGGGCGCGCCCCCGGAGCACCGCCCCCGATCGGGGGCGGTGCAGTTCATAAGCGGGGGTGGTGCACGGGGGCGTGCCCCGGAGCACCGCCCCCGATCGGGAGTGGTGCAGTTCATAGGCGGGGGTGGTGCACGGGGGCGTGCCCCGGAGCACCGCCCCCGATCGGGAGTGGTGCAGTTCATAGGCGGGGGTGGTGCACGGGGGCGTGCCCCCGGAGCACCGCTCCGGTGTCGGGAGGGGGCCGGGGCGGCTTTCCCACGGGGGCTGCCTTCCCACGAGCCGGCCACATCTTCCTAGGATTCCAAGCTCTCAGCGTTCTAAGTGCATGGCTCAGCGGCAGAAGCGGCGTTCTCAGAGCGATTTTGAGAGGAAGAATTTTACCTAAAACTCCTCGCACGACACTAGGCACAGGACTGGCGCGCACTGGCACTAACACTGAGAAGAAGAATTTGACAAGGCCGCGAGTCGAGCTTCACGGACAGCCATGGCATGGCCATGGCGGACGACAAGGCCGGCAATGTGGTTCAGAGCACTATCATCCGCGTCGACCACCTGTGCTGCCAGGGCGAGGCCGCCCTCGTCCGCCTTGCAT